AGCTAACAGCACAGTATACAAACTATTGAACGAAAATTTGTCCATGAGTGTAAGACGGAGAAAAAATGACCWAGTAGCATCCTCTAAACATTTTTACAGAAAATTAACATAAGTAATATTTAATTTTTTTACAATTCTGAATAATAAATTATTTTTAAAAATTGATAATGAATTTYCATAAGTCGATTTTGATTATGTGCTGTAATTCTARGACAACTGATTGACATTTGAGATTTTCGCTAAAACTTAACATTATCATATGTCACACAAGATAATATTTTTAAATATTTTAACTYTACGCTATTTATAGAAATGAAAAATGTATACCTAATCTTTTTTTTAAAAATGATAAACAAATGTTGATTCTTTACACTAAGCTTTTTGACTAACTTGAAAATGCAGTGCAATGTTTTTTTGATAGAAGATGAAAAATATTAAAGTCAACTCCATAAAACTGGTTATTTTTTACAYGCACTTAGTTGAAGTTTTGACAAAATTCATCAGGATCCCAAAACTACAAATTATATTTTAGTTAAAAATTCATGAAAATTTCTTTACGTTGCTAACATTTAAAGTTTGATAGAATATTTCCTCATAAGTTTTCATACTAAAATATTATACATAAAATATACTACATACTAAAAAATTTAACCGGAATGTAATGCGATTATTTACAACTATATTTACGATATTAAATTTTATTATTTATAAAAGTAGGTTCGGCACCCCGCTAAGAATCCTTTTTCGTATACAATAGAATCATATCATTGAATTAAAATTTAATGCCATCCATTACAATGAGACAGTAACCCAGCCACTTACCAGTTATTTTCACTTATACCTAACTCACATCTATGTGAATATTGTTGAGTATACTCCCGTATGGTTTAATATATAAAGCCATACATTTTTTTTATGAATGATTGAAGATTTRACACCAAAGAATACAAAATTTGTAAAAATTAAATTAATTTAATGCTCAACATAATTAAATCTCCGCAAACGATTTGTTTTGTTGTTATKGAAGTAATGCCGATTGTAGAACTTGAAAAATTCCATTATAATTTATTTAGTTAACTTATTCTGATGAAATTTTTTAAATATTTACACTAAATTAAAATAACGTATTTATAATATTATWGGTATGAAAATTAAAATTTTTTGTTGAGATGATCACAAATCTATGGCTTGGTCACAAAGTTTGCAAATTCATAAGTATAAGATGYTCTCAAAACAATTAAAAAATCAGTTTTAAATTGTGTTTAATTTATGAACAGAACAAAACTAAGTCCAACAAGAAGATTCATTGAATTAAAAATGATATTAATACATTTGGGAAAATATAATTTGTCAGATCTTAAATTGTAAATACATTATTATTTATTCATATGCCTTAGTAACAAGTAGCGGCGCAACTAATGTTCAAATCTTGGGGTGCTACAATTATGAATCACAGCCTGCCTCCCCAACTTAACATAATTCCAATATTTAGATTATACTTTTATTATATTCTCAATATAATACATTCTAAATAGTCAAACATAAATTTCTATCAATATTTGCAAATATTTTATTATTCTTCAGGAATAATAGCTAGGTGTCTTTCAATCATATATATAATCATATCATTATTGAATTAGTAAATTGTTGCTGAAGTATGCTGCTTCACAGACAGTTTTTTAAGATCTCTTTGAGGAAAAAGTGTTCGTTAGTCGCAGAACTGACAAGTATGCAACCTGCATTAACTTGTATAAATTTGAAATATTTGTATTTCTTTATTTAGTATTTTTTTTAATGTCATCTGKCCTGTTTTCTAAACATTTTATTAATCAGTATGCAAGATACGAGTAAAAAATTAATGATAATAAAATCTTAAAAAATAAAAGTACATTGTTTAAACTATAGATATTCGTATTTGAAATTATAACAATATGAAACTTGGGAGTGCTTAAAGTAAAGTTGGGGCATTGAGGGTACTGAAGCATCCCCGTAGTTGGGCCCCTCGTAACAAGTCACAAGTAAATTTACTTAATTTTAACCATGATTGTAAATTGTCTACTTATACATCAAATACTGAAACAATTAGAGTTTAAGCTTTAGTAGGATTAATTAATTTAATATACCTGTAATAATTATACATAATAATTTTATAAAACAATCATATTCAGAAACTAATATATTTTATATAGTTTTCTTTAAATGACAAATGTTTTTTTTTTTATAAATTTGTTTATAGATTACAACATATTGCATTATACTAATCTTACACTTTATCAAAACTAAGCATCTAAATTTAGTGCACAAAACATAATATACACATATTTTCTATATAAATAATAAATTTGATCTCATAAATAATAATAATAAAAAAAAAAAATTAAATAAAGGTTAGGTATGTAATAGTACAATGAAGAAAGTAATACTGCTCGCGTGTTTATGATGTGTTGTGTGCTTACAAAACAAATAAGAATATTTAACACGGTATGCATATGAAAAAACGCTTGTTGCAAGTATTTATGCTTAAACATAAAATTGTTGTACATAAAATTATAGTTGGAAGGAAAATACCTTTGGAAACATTGTGAGTGCTAGTAACTTATTAATTAAATGCAAAACATCAGGTACATAAAGATTTACATATCTAAGATGTTTGTACAAAATAATTTTCTACTAAGATGAACACTATTTGTAAGATAAAAATAAAAATATAAAAAGGTAAAATGCATAGTTTGTCTAAAAAATAGGAACTATGTAGAAAAAAATTAAATGTTATATTAACTTATGTTTT